GATAACTAAGACCTGTGGCTAAAAACAAACTAAATGAACTCACTGCCATTGAGTCGATCCCAACTCATAGCAACCCCTCTTTGGGTTTCCAAGGTGGTATCTCTACGGGAGTAGATCACTCAATCTTCCTTCCAAGGAGTAGCTGGTGGGTTTGAACCGCTAGCCTACTGGTTAACAGTCAAATGCCTTAGGCACCAGACCTGTGGCTAGTGGTTACTTACTATATTGGACAGCACTGATACAGACCATGTCCATCATCATATAAAGTTCTATTGGACATCAAAATAAGGTGGAAAGGGGGGAAAAAAAAAACTATTAAGGTGGAAAGGGGGGAAAAAAAAACTATTGCCATCAAGTTGATTCTGATTCATAGTAACCCATAGAGTTTCCAAGGTTGTAAATCTTTATGGAAGTAGACTGCCCCATCTTCACAGAAGTAGATTGCTTCATCTTCCTCCTGCCAAGCAGCTGATGGGTTTGAACTGCCAACCTTCTGGTTAGCAGTCAAATGCCTTAACCACTGTGCCATCAAAATGCCTTTAAAATAAGGAAGTAAACCACAAAAGAAGAAGATAGTATGGTCCAGAAAACAAAACAAAACAAAAATCCAAACAGAAAAAAGCAGCAAGAGAACAATAAGGATAATATCAAAGACAAATTCCTAAACAGCTACCACTAGGCCCCAAAAGCCACCAGTCTGAACCAGTCTGAACATTCTAAATAAAGATTAGCACAATTAGGGTAGAGTATAAGGATGAATTAGTGAAGACAAGGCATTTGGCTGCTAACCAGAAGGTCAATGGTTTAAACCCACCAGCTGCTCCACAGAAGGAAGCTGGGGCAATGTACTTCTGTAAAGATTTACAGCCTTGGAAACCCAATGGAGGTCACTATGAGTCGGCATCGACTCAATGGCAGTGAGTTTTTTTTTTTTTTTTTTTTTTTAAGACAAAACCAAGGAAACACACACACAATTATTAAGCCCAGGGTAACAAATATTGTAGGGAAGGAAATGTACTAATTTCTGTCACGTGGCACAACTACGAATAGTATACCATACCAAACCCACTGACATCAAATCAATTCCGACTCATAGCGACCCCCATTGACTTTCTAAGGCTGTAAATCTTTCCTGAAATAGATTGCCTCATCCCACAAAGTGGCTGGTGAGTTTGAACCTCTGACCTTCTGGTTAGCAGCCAAAATGCCTTACCCACTACGCCACCAGAGCTCATCATGAATAGCAAAAAACACAACCACTGCCATGGAGTCAGATCTGACTCAGAGCGACCCCTCCTTGGGTTTCTAAGGTGGTATCACTACAGAAGTAGATTGCCCAACCTTCCTTCTGAGGAGTGGCTGGTGGGTTTGAACTGCCAGCCTTCTGGTTAGCAGTCAAATGCCTTAGCCACTATGCCACCAGAGCTCCCATGAATAGCATAAAGGGGTTAAAATAATATAAAGACCAAATGCTGATGTCACTTAAGTTATATACTTTTAAAGCTCCTATGTACATGCATTACTTTGATAAAAATAATTTTAAAAGCAAATTATGAAAAAAAAGACAGACACAATACAAATATTGACAAGAATATGGAGAAATTGAAACACTCATGTTGCTGTGGAAATGTAAAATGGTACAACCACTAGGAAAATAGTTGGGCAGTCTCTTAGAATGTTAAATATGGATTTACCATTGTTGTTGTTGTTGTTGTTATGTGACATAGAGTCAGACCTGACTCACTGCAACCCTTACTTGGGTTTCCGAAGCAGTATCACTATGGAAGTAGATTGCCCCATCTTCCTTCCAAGGAGTGGCTGGTGGGTTTGAACCGCCAGCCTTCTAGTTAGCAGTCAAGTGCCTTAGGCACTATGCTACCAGAGCTCCTGGATTTACCATATGACTTAGCAATTTCACTCCTAGGTATCTACCCAAGAGAATTGAAAAGATGTCTCCATGCAAAGATTTGTATGTGAATGTTCATAGCAGCATTATTCATAATATCCCTGTCTTAGTTATCGAGTCCTGCTGTAACAGAAATACAAGGGGGTGGCTTTAACAAATTTATTTTCTCATACTTCAGGAGGCCAGAAGTCTAAATAGGGTGCTGGCTCTAGGGGAAGGCTTTCTCTCTGTTAGCTATAGAGGAGAGAATTTGTTTCTTTTACAGGAGACATCTACTCCTGGGTGATCTGCTAATGGCTTGGCATCTCTCTTCCTCCATCTTTGTGTCTTCTGTTTCTTAATGTCTTTCATTTCTCAAAAGAACTGACTTAAGACACACCCTACACTAATCTTGGCTCACTAACATAACAAAGACAACCCAGACCCAAATGGGATTATAATCACAGGCATAAACCAAAAAAACCAAACCCACTGCCATCAGAGTCAATTCTGACTCATAGCAACCCCCACAGGGTTTCTAAGGCAGTTAATCTTTAGGGAAGTAGATTGCCCCATCATCCTTCCACGGAGTGGCTGGTGGGTTTGAACTACCAACCTTCTGGTTAGTAGTCAGGTTAGGATTTACAGTACGTATTTTGCATGGATAAAATTCAATCCATAGCAATCCAAAATTGGAAAAACCCAAAATGTCAACCGGTGAATGGATAAACAAAATGTGGTATATCCATACAGTGGAATATTATCCAACAAGGGAAGGAACAAAGTAGTAGTAATACATGCTACAATATGGATGAGCTTTAAAATTATTATGCTAAATGTAAGAAGCCAAACACAAAAGGCCATATAGTATATGATTCCATTTACATGAAATGTCCAGAAAAGGAAAATCTATAGAGACAGAAAGTAGATTAGTGGTTGGCTAGGAGTTTCAATAAGGACCCCTGGTAGCACCGTTCCTAAGGCATCTGACTGCTAATCAGAAGGCTGCTGGTTCAAACCTACCAGCCAGTCTGCGGAAGCAAGACTGGGCAATCTACTTCTGTAAACATTTACCACCTCGGAAACCCAATGGGGGTTGCTATTAGTCAGAATCGACAGGTTGCTATAAATCAGAAGTGACTTGATGGCTGTGGCTTTGGTTTGTTTTGGTTTAGGATTTTGAATGGGGAGTAACTGAATGGGTAAGATGTTTCTTACTGGGGTCATGGAAATGTTCTTAAAATGTCATGGTGGTTCTGCAAGTCTGTAAATACACTAAAAACCATTCATTGAATTGTACACTAAAAACCATTCATTGAATTGTACACTTAAAATGAGTGAATTTTATGGGATATAAACCATACCTCAATCAATTTGCTTTTTTAAAAAAATCAAATGATAAAGTCTTTTAGGAAAGAAAACCTGCAGGAGTATCTGGAACACTATGTGTTAAGTGCTTTACAGAGGTTATTACCATTATAATCACCTTGAAATTTTGGCAACTACTTTTTCTCTTTTAAAAATAATTATTTATTATTATTGTAGAAATAATTAAGGCATAATTGACATACAAGAGTGAAAACAATTAAATGTACAATTTGATAAGTTTTGCATATGTATATACCTGTTAAATCATTGTCACAACCAAAATAATGCAGATATAAAATTTGGCAATTATTAACTCTGTTTTACACATAAGGAAACTGCAGTTCAAAGAAGTTAACTTGCACAATTACCTAACATAGCAGAGGTACAACATGAGAGCATGCACCTGCACCACCATGTAAATGCTCTTTCTCCCATTTGTGGTGGCCTGGGCCCTTCTGCAGGTAGATCACACTGAAGGCCGGATTAAGTCCCTCTTCTACCCATGGTCCCATACAATCCAGTGCTGTGGAGAGTGCTATAAGGCTCCATGGGAGAACTACAAGTAGACCAAGATTTTCTCTCCCTCTGAAACCCGTGGAAGTTGAAACCTGTGTCAGGTGGAAACTTGTCAGAGAAGGAAAATGCAAGTATTTTCCACTAAAACGAGCAATAGAAAAGTAGTAACACTGCACCCAGTCAAGGGTGGAAAATGTGCAAGCCTGGAAAAGCAAGGCAGTCTCATCACGTTCTGGCTCTCACGGGTTTCACTGTATATGGACCGCATGGGATTAACCATGAAGGGGAAGCTGGCCAATCTTTGCCACAGGAGTTCTGAGATTAATGCTAAGATTTTATTTAAAAATTAACACACATACCCTTCCCCCAGCTCTCTCTGTAGCGGTCTGGAGAGTGTAGAAACCTACAGTTCCTCCACTCAGCAGCTGTGGGGCACTAAACAAATTCTTCAAATCTCTCTGTGCCTCAATTTCCTCATCTCTACAGTGGGGAAAATCAGAACTTCTTCTAAAAGACTGTTGTGGGGATTAAAGGAATTAATATAGGTAAAACGCTTAGAGTAATACTGTAATTGGTAAGTGTTTGCCATCACTGCTATTTGGTCTTTGTATTTAAACTTGTCACCTAACTGTGCAAAATTTGCCCTTGTTCAGCTTTGCTACAAAATTGCCCTTTCTTTGATCAGAATGTTCTCATGTTGACCACTATGCTATCTGTTGGTGCAGGTTAGGAAATATCATCCAAGCTCACCACACATTTTCACTGACAATATAAAATCAAAGGCCAAAGAGGTCATGGCAGTGGTCTGGTCTAAGCCCACCAATGTACAGATGTGGATAATGATGCTTCAGGCGGCTCAGGGGCTGCTCAAAAACAAACTGATTCACCTCCCTAGGCAGCCTGTCTAACGTCATCACCACATATGTACTCTTCTCAGTAAGATTTCGTGTCCCGTCTTCTTCCAAGAGATCTCCTGCCCATTTAGCTAAAGAAGTCGGAGAGAAAAATCCACACTGATTTTCCAGACTGTCAAATGCTAATTACAAGTTATTCCATTTGAAAGATCGAAATGAAAGCGTGTTTAATCCTTCTCCTTCTCCCCAAATCTCCATCATTGCAAGAAAAGCAAGTTCTTTGAAAGCTGTGAACCAAACACAACAGTTTTGCAGTCAATGGTTAAGAGGTAGGCTGGTTCCCAGGGAATGGCTAAAGAGGGTTTTTTCTCCGTTACCTTGGTAACTGCTACCTTGGCGCCCTTGTTGATGAGCTGAACCACATTCTCTGCTTGGCCTTTGTACGCAGCTATGAGAAGGCGTTCTGAAAGTGCAGCGACCGCATCCTGCTGGCTCATGAATTAGGAGAGAAAGAGGTTTTCGGGAAAGCAGTAGACAAGTTCCTTCAGGTCAACGCGACGCCACTGGCCCGAGCCGGCACCCACAGGTAAAGACGTTCCCAATCATTGGAAAGAGCCTTTGTTACTATGCCATCTTCACGACCTGGGGGGTTACAAAACAAAGCTGCCATCAGCACCATTCAACACCCAAGGCAGGCCACACCTCTTTCTCTCTGATGTTAGGACATTCTGCGATTGCTCACTGTAGGGGAGGGAAGCTGGGGGCGAGGGGCCATGAGGGAAGCACACTCAACAAAGCAAAGCCTTAGCAGAGCTTCCAGGTGGAAGGCAGCATGGGATATACAGGCTTCGGGTGCTTAACCTGAAAATGGGAGCCAGCCAATCTTTGCCACAGGAGTTCCACTGCCAACCTCCTCTTCTTCTGCTTTCGGGGACATTCCAGAGGAGGATGGCCAAAACGGTGAGATTTGTTCTCCATTTCTGTCCTGGTTAACAGAGACCTGATCAATTCCCCAAGACTGTCGAGTGTATGGACCCACCTTCTTCTGGCAGGTAACTATACTGTGTATGACCACAAGAGGCCTTCTGGGCTGTGTTCTGTGGGCCTACCACTGCTAACATGCCAATTCCCTGGTGGGTCAGTTGCCAGTGGACCACATTCCACAGAGGCCCCACTAAGTGGGTTCTCTCCTTGGGGTGTTCTCCCGGCATTTACTGCAGTCATCTTCTTTTACCCTTTCCTCACAGTTCAAATGGTGCAGTTCTCTAAGTTCTGGAACAGAGGGAGAGCTGGGCACAGGCCTGAGCCATCTGCTGCTTCCAATTACTGCTGAAATGATCCTCCCTGGGGACAAATGGATGCTGGACATACTGACAGTGTGCACTTCCAATCTGGAAGGAGGGGCTAGTGGTGTTTGTTCCTCACTTAACACAAGAAAAGCAAGTGGGCAGCCAAACAAGAGACAGGACTACAAGGTGGATAATTACACCAGGTAAGTATACGCCCTAAATCAACCAGGGTAGACCACAAGGGCAACATTTGCACAAGGAGATAGCTCAGAGAGCAGGAATGCGTAGGAAGGAAGAACACAGAGAAAAGGTAACCACTGGAAGGGAATGGGAAGAGAGCTGTTACATTATGGGGATTGAAATCAATGTCATGAAACAAAATGTGTATGAGCCGTTGAATGGAAAACGAATTTGCTCTGTAAACTTTCACCCAAATCACAATTTAAAAAGAAAAAGAGAGAGAGAGAAAGAACTAGGAGTGGAGCATATCCTCGGACCTGAGATCCCTGCACTGGACCTCCCTGGCAGAGAGGTGATAGAGAGAGTGGCAGCAAAACCAAGAGACAGGCGTGAGACAGTGTCAGTCTTACCAGCCCAAGAGGAAAGCTGAGTTCCTTTGGACAGGAGGCTTGCTGGTGGAATGGGGTGCACCTATCCACAGAGCTAGAAGAGCTTTGTAACACCTGGACAAGCAGGACAGATGCCAGGCCAGGCAGGTACCAGGCCTAGAGGCAGAGGGCCTAAAGAAAGGCATGCCTGAGGGCAAAGCCACGGGGAGGCTGTCAGGATTGAAGAATTGTATCCTGAGTGTTCCTGAACCTGTATTGTAACCTGTTACTTCCCCAATAAACCCCATAATCAAGGGGAAAAAGAAGAAAAAAAGAATAAATGTTTAGGAATGCAATAATTTGGCTGGAAAAAAATAAAAAAGTAAATGGCCGCCTAAAATCACCTACAGGACAAAAAGCACTGACTTAGAGCAATGGTCGAGAGGATAATTAGTCGTAAATTTAAGCTCTTCTTTTCACCCAATGACCAAAATGAATAGGATTTTAAAGACTGTGACTCCTTCTAGCAGTCCTGGGCAACCATTGATAACCAAAACCACTGATAACTGATTCAAAGGTGAAGTGCTCTTTTGACAGAAGGAATGCTGAAAGATCTGTCTGATCTACATCCAGAGTCTGGGTGGTGCAAAAACTTAACACACTCAGCTGCTAAGAGGTTGGAGGTTTCAGTCCACCCAGACAGACCTGGCTGAAAGGTGTGATGATCTAATTAGAAATATCAGCCACTGAAATCCCGAACAGTGAACAGTTCTATTCTGAGACACATGGACTATCCATGAAACTGAGTTGAGTCATGGCAACTGTTTTTTGTCTTTTTTTTTTTTTTTTTTTTTTTAAATCCATTCCTGCTATAAGTGCAAGGAATTGAGGGCTTCTTAGTAAAGATCAAGGAGCTCTGGTAGCATAGTGGTTAAGGCTGGTAACCAAAAGGTCAGTGGTTCGAACTCACCAACTCCTCAGAAGAAAGATGAGGCAGTCTGCTCCTGTAGAGATTTACAGCCTTGGAAACTCAATGGGGGTGTCGCTGTGAGATGGGATCAACTCGATGACAGTGAGCTTAGTCAAGGAGCTCTGGTGGTGTAGTGGTTATGGCATTTGGCTGTTACGTGAAAGGTCAGTGGTTCGAACCCACCAGTTGCTCCTTGGAAGAGAGATGGGGCGGTCTGCTTCCGTAAAGATTTACAGTCTTTGAGTTGCTATGAGTCAGAATTGACTTGATGGCAATGAATTTGGGGTTTTATTCATTTGTGTAGGTCAGCTGATGAATTTGAACTGCCGATCTTTTGGTTAGCAGCTGACTATTTAACCACTGTGACAAAAGGGCTCATTTTAAAACATATTTATTAAAAGTGTCAATATATCCAAATGAAAAGGAAAGAAAACACTGTGCCAAAAGGCCACCATTCTCCATCCCAGAGCTCACCAACATTCTAATTTTGAAGACCCAGGAGATGTAGACATCTCTATAGGTGTTTTCAGTCAAACCCAATGATTTTTTTGATCTCTGGAAAAGGGAATCAGCCGTGGTATGGCTGTCAAAGGTCTGGACTAGATCCCACTCCAACTCCCATTCCGTATACATAAAACAAAGATAATAACGGCTCTCTCCCAAGACGGTGGTGGGAATTAAAGGTGGTATCTTATTACGTAAGTTGCCCTAGTGGCATAAGCATTAACTGCTTGGCTGCTGTCATGGACTGAATTGTGTCTCTCAAAAATGTGTCAAGTTGGCTGGGCCACGATTCTCAGTGGTCTGGCAGTTATGTAATGATGCAATTTGACAGTTATGCAATGATGTGATCATCCGCCATTATACGATCTGATGTGATCAGTTAGTCAGTTATAAGGGGCCTTAGGGTAGGATGCAACACCCGTACTCAGGTTACAGCACTGATCAGATCGGTGTAGAAGGAGTTTCCCTGGGGTGTGGCTTGCATTACCGTTCATCTTATGAGAGACAAAGGTAGAGAAAAGCAAGGAAGGAAGGACTTGACTACCACCAAGAAATAAGAGTCAGGAATAGCCCACATCCTTTGGACCCAGGGTCCCTGCACTGCGAGCCTTCTAGACTCAGGGGAAGACTGGTGCCAAAATATATAGAGACCTCCAAGGAACACCGGGCCCACAGATGTTGAAAGGAGACAAGGATCTTCCCTTAGAGCCAACAGAGAAAGAGAGAAAGCCTTCCCCTAAAGCCGGTGCTCTGCATTTGGACTTCTAGACGCCTAAACTGTGAAAGAATAAATATGTTACTTAAAGACATCCACTTTTGTGTTAGAGCAGCACCAGATAACTAAGACAGCTGCTAACCAGAAAGTCAGGTTTAAACCTACCAGCCACTCCATGGGAGAAAAGACCTAGAGATGTGCTCTCTTAAAGCTTACACCTGAGAAACCCTGTGACAGTTCTATTGTCATACAGGGTCACTGCGAGTAGGAACAAACAGCACACAACAACAACATCTTATTATATGAAAGATGCAAATATTAGAACTTAGAAAGATCATTCTTATTTCTCCACTTTGTAAATTATCAAATTTTATCATTTACCTCCATCTGTTGCCCAAAACATAGGTAAATAATGTCAAGGAAAGAAAAGGAACCATCTTGCTCCTGTTCTCCAGACTCATTAGCAGCTCAAGGAGTCTGGAGAAGGGTACGCCCAAAGCAGACTCCCCGAAGAGCCCCATCAGAGATCCCCGGGATGCTCCAGAAATATGTGCTGAATGAATGAAACAAAGAATGAAGTTGTGACTCAGACACTGAGAAATGGAGCTGGAAATGCCTTTGAAAATCCCCATTGTAACACTGAAAGATTGTAGTTTGGATTTTTCTTTTCTGACTGCCATACCATTTGGAAGCAGTTTGTTTTTGTAAACATCAGATACATTGTCTCTTTTCAATCAGATAATCAGCAAATCCATTATACTGAGCTTCTGCGCTGTTGCCCAAATACTGAAAATCACTCCAATACCAAAGGCAGCAAAATATGGAGTGTGTTACCCACATCTTCCTGAAGCCTCTCCTTCACACAACCAGATTCTTCCCCTTCCTCACCCATTGGTTATTCCTGCACACTTGACCTGATCCTCCTCACCCCCCCTTTTCCTGTACCTTTCCTTCTGTGTACATCTGAATGCCTCAAGTGCTATGGCCCAATTCATACCAATACTACTATTGTGCCTAAAAATCTATTCCATAGCTTAGTTCCTGGGGGTAGAGAGATCTTTGCTTCAACTTCAGTATAGCCCATCAGCTGAGGTTGTGAGCTCCAGACCAGCATAGAGTGGCTGTGAGGGGTCAGAGAGGCCTGTAGTAAACTGATACCCACTCCACTGCTAGGCTTCTTTCTCTGCTATAAATTAGGCCTCTGAGACACTAAGATTAAAGCCCCGAGGTACACTCCTTGCCATATTTGCAAACTACTGAGATACTCTTGTTTGGATAGTTAACTTCCGTAAACAGTCCTTTGCTAATGTAAGTCCAGCACCTAGCTTTCCTTTTGAGATAGGAAAACATTACAACTGTGAGAAAATTTTGACCAAGTAGAAATGTCAAGTTCTATCTTTTGCTTTTCAGTTACTGCTAAATCTGTTCCCCACTCTCTCCTTCCCCCTCCCCTCCACCACCACTAATCCAC